TTTCAAATTCTAAAAATACACTTTCAATATTATCTAAGTCTAGAGGTAAACGAAAAGTTCTATGACTGGTCATACCTTTTGGTAGTAATACAGATGCAATTCCTGTCCAAGCCATTGACAAAATATTTTTACCTCTAGAAATAAAATAATAAATGAGTGTCTTATATAAGTAGGTTTTTCCGGATCAACCAGGACCATCTATGAAATATACTTTTTCTTCTTGTTCACAAATAGTTAAAAAAATTTTTTTTTTGATCTTGATTCAAATTTATGTACATTATATCAAACATTTTTTCTTGAAACATAACAGAAAGTTCTAAAAAAAACTCTCCACGTACCACAATAGTACCTTCTAGATGGTGTGGAAATTTACTGATAAATATATAACCAATGCTTAACCACGTAGATCAAAAACTCTTTTTTCTCATGAAATTCTGGGCACCAACCTCTCCCCACTAACAGATAAAATTTTTAAGACTCTCCTCTCAAGTTAGAACAGTAGGGGGTTGGCGCGCGGCGCGTGCTGGAGGGCGAAGCCCTACTAGAATATATATATATATATATATATATTGTAACGGTGAGAGACCGTTAGGCCATCACCAGCAGGCTAAGGCAGGTAGGGAAGCAGGGAAAAGGGGAAAAAGAGTTAATGGGACTAGGTGGGAAAGTGGTAAGGGAAAAGAGGGGAAGAGAAGAAAAGGCTGGGAGAGCGCTAACTTGGGCCTTTAAGCGTGCAAGAAGCGAGATTTTGGTTGATTTTACGCGAGAAGAAAAGTTATTGTTATTTTGATACGCGAGAATGTGGTGTGATTTCCGCTGATATCGCGGATATCGGCGACCCTTGGCGGTGATCCAGTGCGATGTCGTGGTGCAGTGTCTGGTGCCGTGACCCTGCTCCTGACCCTATTGACGAGGTCGAGCCAAGGCCAGCCCTGACGACCTTGACCTTGCAACGCAGCCAGTAGGGACACCTACTGGCCTCTGCGTACCCGCTTCGTTAGCGTCCGTGGTCTTGGCCTATCCAAGGCATCGTTGAGGAGCGACCTCCGAGACGCTGTAAGTATCTGCCAATAGGCAGTTTATTTTAAAGGGCAGCGGCTCTTGATTAGCCCGCTTGTCTGCCTGGTTCGCGAGTTTGCACCGCGAGCTGGTCGAGTATTAGCGCTCGTCGAGCGTACATACACACACACACACGCATACACCCGCGAGTATAGTAGATTTTGTACTTATTTTTATACTGTTTTGAATACATATTTTGTTTAATATAATACTCGTGAGTGCTTACTCTTCTCTGTGTATGCCCTGTCCCCCCTGTGTTGTGTTATAGTCGACGCGAGAGGCGACGACGTCCAAGTTCGCCGCGATACTTAAACCCCAGCGGTGTCTCGGCGAATGAGACCCGCGAACATCCCTTACAGGAAGTGTCACCGAGGGTTTCCGGGCAACACAGGCCCGGTCGAGGTTGCGAATTCCGCCTCGTTAAATCCGCATAGGTGGCACCCCGTAACAATATACATGTGTGTGTGTGTGTGTGTGTGTGTGTGTTGCTTGAAAAAACAGCTTCGAAAAATCGTGTAATAACGCTCCAAATCAATACATTTATCAAAATTCCTGGAGAATAAGGAATTTAAACCGTAATCTAAATTTTATTGGGCATTGAGTACATCATCTGAAATTTCTACGTAACCAAGTGTGTTGTTATGAGATATAATTGTTAATAACTAGTCATCCAGTTGTTTGCGAATTGAAAGAGAAAAGTAACGTTTGGTGATTGTGGAAGAGTTCATCAGTGTGCATGATCTAGAATGTAATTAAAAAAAAAAATGCATTGTAATGTAAATATTTTGTTAATATTAAGTTCAAGAAACTGATTTTTATCTTGAACGACACTACAAAACGTATACACCTGCAGACGTTGAGTCAATTTATATTTTTAACTGTATATTTTCAAAACAATCAAAGGACTTGAGTTTTTTTTTTTTTTTGAAGCCATACCCAAATTTTAGGTGATTCAGTGCATTTTTTTCCATGTAACACTTTATCTCTATTATTATATTTAATCGACATTTTGAAAAATTTATGTAAATTGTATATTATGTAGTGGTAGGGAGCTACCTTAAACACCTAGATAATTAGTTATTAACAATAATTTTTCATAATAGTTAAGTAGGTGAAGTATATATTTCAGATAATACACTGCATGCACTTCAAAGAGAAGACAAGTTTTCAAAATTTATGAAAGTGGTAAAAAACCTTTAAAATAATAGTAATGAAAATAATATAGTCTACAAAATAAATTCCAATAATAATAAAGCATGCTGCCTAGAATAGTCATCTAGAAGTCCAAAAGTAAGAACAATTAACACAAAAGCTATTGTGAATATTCAAGACGTAAGTTGGTGTTAGTTTACCACATAAAAACTGCATAACATCCGCAAGAATAACTTCAAATTGTCACTTCTGCCTTGCAGTTGAACTCAGTACATGCCTTTCTTTAAACTTTTAGTTAGTTTATTGACTTATGCTTTGAGACGGTCGTGTGAGTCATCCATCATGGTACAGACTTAGACGCTAATACTTAGGCAATCGAGAATATAACAGTGCTATAGAAAAATTTTTATAATTATTTTCGCTGATCGAGTAATTGTAAGTACAAAGTGATTCTGTTGTTTTGTAAAAGTCGAAAATTTTTTTTATTTTTACTTTAAAGTGATTTGTATTGTTATATTATAAAGATTTTAGCCTATTAAGAACCTTGAATTTTGATTCTGTAAAGGCTGAATCGTGTTAATATGATAAAAAAACTTATAAGTGTAACCATTGTCTTACACACATTATTGGAGACGAAAAAAATTGCCGTATACATGGTGAACAAGTCACTGAGGAAACTACGCACAGTATAAAATAGTATTTCCCTACCTCTGGCCTTTTTGAGAGGCTGGTGTGCCCTTGGTAGGAGAAATGTGATTCGCTATTTAAGTACTATTGCACCATGGCTACCTTAATTCCCTTGGGCCCTGTTTTGTAGGTCCCTCGGGCCGCAAAATAGCCCCGGAGACGATGGCATTTATTCAACGAAAACTACTATTTCCTACCGTGAGCTTTTGTAAGGATTATTTGCCCTTGGTAGGAAAAATAAGGTTCGCATCTGGTGCGTATCCAACTAGGGCAAGCACAAGGAGTCCCTAGGACCCAGTAGTTGCCCTGGTGACATGCACCATTAGGTACGAAAACTATTATTATTACATAAGTCTTATTGCGGCTAGCACGAAGAAATGTTAAATATATCTAGTTAAATGACGCTTTTGTGGAATTAAAAAATTCATGTTGCAGAAAAATAATAATTTTTTTTCCTTACATAGCAAGTTAGAAAATGACATATCACTTTTCCAGATTAAGGATATCAATATTATCAAACAGAATTTATCTGCAATTTTTTAAGAAATACAATTGTGTAATAATGCAACATTTTAAATATTTTGTTTCATTAACTAGGTTCATAAAAATATTAAGTTAACGACTATGAGTTCTCGAGAAAGAATAACATTGCTTTTATTGGTGTTGTCACTCTTTTTTTATCTATATGGCTTAAATATTAGTTGATGCTAAGTTTTGAACCTCTAAATAAAAAGCTGTGATAACAGCATGTTCAAATTGTTCTTTATTGTAAAAAAATTTCTTATTCTAGTTTTTTTCCATTTCATTCTTATTACACAGTCAAATTTGAATTTGGGCATAGTAGTTTGGAATTGTTAAATTTTTGACGCTGCTGAACTATTGTAGACAAAGAGGGCCGTACATACACGGCTGAAACGTTGTATTTTAATATTAGTAAAAATAAATTTATAGCATAGCTTTTAGAATTAATTTAATAAAAGATTTTTCAAATGTTTAACCTCTGTTGTCTTGACTGTAAGTAAAGTTATAAACGTGGTACGCAAAGCACGTAGGGGGTATAATTTGTGATATCATGAGATGTTAAAAATATCCACTAATGCTTTGTTAAAATTTGTAAGATCAACTAATGATCACTTCTTATTTAAACATTTTTTGTTCTGTTTTCAGATTGAACAAATCAAGATGGCTCACAATTTAACGCCGAGCGTCAATTGCTCACTAGATGATATAGACCTCAATGCTTTAAAGGATCCAGCAGGCATATTTGAGCTAATAGAAGTTGTTGGTAACGGTACTTACGGGCAGGTGTATAAGGGTCGACATACAAAGACTGGTCAGTTAGCTGCTATCAAGGTTATGGATGTTACTGAAGATGAAGAGGAGGAGATCAAACTGGAGATTAATGTACTCAAAAGATATTCAAACCATAGAAATATAGCTACTTACTATGGTGCCTTCGTCAAGAAATCTCCACCTGGCAAAGACGACCAACTCTGGCTTGTGATGGAGTACTGCGGTGCAGGTTCTGTTACAGACCTTGTTAAATCAACTAAAGGTCAAAGCCTGAAAGAGGAATGGATCGCTTATATCTCAAGAGAGATTTTGCGAGGCCTCAGCTACTTGCATAGTAATAAGGTAATACACCGTGACATAAAAGGTCAAAACGTTCTGTTAACTGACAACGCTGAGGTCAAGCTCGTCGACTTTGGGGTAAGCGCCCAACTTGACCGAACTATTGGGCGCAGGAACACATTCATTGGAACACCATACTGGATGGCACCTGAAGTAATAGCCTGTGATGAAAATCCCGAGGCGACCTATGATAATAGAAGTGATCTCTGGTCTCTAGGTATTACTGCCTTGGAGATGGCTGAGTCACAACCTCCTCTTTGTGATCTACACCCCATGCGAGCACTATTCTTGATTCCGCGAAATCCACCACCTCGGCTTAAATCAAAAAAATGGGCCAAGAAATTCCAGAATTTTATTGAGACCGTTCTTGTAAAGGATTACCACCAGCGCCCTTACACCGAGCAACTACTGAAACACGCATTCATACGTGACCAGCCAACTGAGCGCCAAGTGCGGATCCAGCTCAAGGATCATATCGATCGTTGTAAAAAACGCAAGCAAGAGAAAGAGCGGGACGACTACCGCTACAGTGGTAGCGAGAACGAGGACGATGAAGTGGCAGTCGCAGGTGAGCCCTCTTCCATTATCCAGGTGCCTGGCGGCGATACTTTGCGCCGCAATTTTCAGCAGATTCAAGAAGGTCGTACGCTCTCTCAAGAAATACCAGGTCAACAGCAACAGCAGGCACAAACTCATGCTTCTACTGCTACTGTTGCTGTCTGCGCTTCAGCCAAGGATATATCCAAGCAGTCAGCTCAGTTGCCGGGTCGCATGAAGGATCCTCCAGAGACTATGATCCAACAACTATTGCCACTACCGCATGTTCGGCCTTCAGTGCCGCATCGGCTAATTGTCGTACCAGATCCACACCCACCATCGCGACCGCTGCCACCGACGCCTAAAGATGACCTGCGGCAGGTGCACAAAGCACTTACACCATCCTCGAACCTTCCTGCAGTCGAGCGGGCCATGGCTTCTGGTGGCTCTGTCAGCGTGCCTGTCTCCCAGAGAAACAGTCATATATTTAAACCAATGGCGCTCATGATTGAGAGTGATAGTGATGATGATATAGAGGACGTAAGTGGTAATAGTAATCGCAATGATGGCACGCTTCTGGCTAGTGATCCGCCCAAGCCACTGCCACATCTTGAATCCTCGTCTTCATCATCATCATCGGGTGGAAGCGTGGGTGGAGGTCCACTTCAACAGCTGGTGATAGCCCAGCAGGGTCATAACTCATACCACGAGGCTGGGGCACCGAATCGCCCACTTCCACCAACGCCCGATGAAGAAGAGCTGGGAGAACATACTTTAGTAATGAAGCGCCGTGAGGCTAGTGAACGCGGCCGAGGCGGGGTGACTGGCACAACAAGTGGTGACTTCCAACGATTGGACTCACCAGGCTCCCGAACCAGCTCAGTATTACCGGATTTATTAACCTCGTCACCAGGTCAACGCCAGGACAAGTCAATCAGCGATGAATATCGTCAGGCAGTCAAATCTCCACCTCTTGCGCTCCAACAGAAGCAGCGCTCTTTTTTAACATTTGGCTTTGGTGCTGGACCAGCCCGCCGTGAGTCACATGTTAATGTTAATGTTACGCCCACAAGCCATGACCTCAGCTCAGATACACCTGAGATACGTAAGTACAAGAAACGTTTTAACAGTGAGATTCTTTGTGCAGCCCTTTGGGGGGTAAACCTACTCATTGGCACTGAAAATGGCTTGATGCTACTTGATCGCAGCGGTCAAGGCAAAGTGTACCAATTAATAAGTCGACGCAGATTTCAGCAAATGGAGGTGCTTGAAGGACAAAATATTCTTGTTACTGTTAGTGGAAAGAAAAATCGCGTGCGTGTCTATTACCTTTCTTGGCTAAAAAGCAAAATTCTTCGCACTGATGGTCATAGTGAGCAGGTTGAACGACGTAACGGCTGGATAAATGTGGGAGATCTCCAGGGTGCTGTGCACTTCAAAATCGTTAAGTACGAGCGTATTAAGTTTCTTGTGATTGCTCTAAAAGAGTCTATAGAAATTTATGCATGGGCGCCCAAGCCCTATCACAAATTTATGGCTTTCAAATCATTTGGTGAGCTTGCACACCGACCTCTTCTTGTCGATCTTACTATTGAAGAAGGTACCCGCCTTAAAGTCATCTATGGTAGTACCGATGGCTTCCACGCCGTCGATCTTGACTCAGCTACCGTCTACGATATCTACATGCCGAAGCATACTCAAAGTCCAATATGCCCGCATTGTATCGTCGCTTTACCCAACAGTAATGGCATGCAGCTACTTCTCTGTTATGACAACGAGGGTGTTTACGTCAATACCTACGGTCGCGTCTCTAAGACTATGGTACTACAGTGGGGTGAAATGCCGACAAGCGTCGCCTACATTGGCATTGGACAAATTATGGGCTGGGGTAATAAAGCCATCGAGATAAGGAGTGTAGAAAGCGGCCACCTAGATGGTGTATTTATGCATAAAAAGGCACAGCGACTGAAATTCCTCTGTGAGCGCAACGACAAAGTATTTTTTTCGTCAGCTAAGGGTGGCTGTTCATGTCAGATTTACTTTATGACACTAAATAAGCCTGGCATGGCGAACTGGTAATTTACTTCACTTCGCCCTGTCAATTATGTTTTAGCCAGTGTTAAACGTCATTCAAAAGTGGTTATCCTCGTTGACAGTTACAGCATCATATTATCAGTCGGAGTGCTCACGATTTTTTAATTTTATTTTTTTATATCTTAAGAAGAACAGCTAATAAAGAGAGGTGAAATTTTAGAATCTAAAATTATTTGTTTATTCTGACTTGACTGTGGTTAAAACAGTGAGAATTAATACGCACCATAATTTTGATACGAATCCTGAAAATCAAAGCACGAATCGCTGCCATTCTTAACAATATAGAGTGTAAAATAATCATTCGTACAATCATAGTAGAAGGGCGTACTAGGTGTTCTATTACTGGAGCCTTGATATGAGTATTGATGTTAAATCAACTTTGAATCATTATTTAATCAGTGTTCATTTTGACATTTAATTTTAATAATCAATAAATTTTCAATATAACATTAGTTAAATGTTGAAAACTTTCATATCACAAGACCACAATGTAGAAAGCTCGTCGACTTTGGGGTAAGCGCCCAACTTGACCGAACTATTGGGCGCAGGAACACATTCATTGGAACACCATACTGGATGGCACCTGAAGTAATAGCCTGTGATGAAAATCCCGAGGCGACCTATGATAATAGAAGTGATCTCTGGTCTCTAGGTATTACTGCCTTGGAGATGGCTGAGTCACAACCTCCTCTTTGTGATCTACACCCCNAATATAAAATTCATAAGGTACAAGTAAATATAAAAACTTGGTAAAAGGGAGCACATTTTTATTAAACAAAATATTTGACGTTTCGTCGAAACCAAAGTCGACCTCTTCAGAAATAAATACGAGAGGCGCTTCCCCTTTTACATCACGATTGTATTATATTAACAATGACACATATTCAAAGTCATATGACTGAATTTACAATAATTAAAGTCATATGAAAAACAATAGAACAAATGGGACACTGTCCCATTTATATAAAGTAATGAATCTTTTCACGTTCTATTGTTTTTCATATGACTTTATTTTTTTTCTAATATTCATTTCAAATAAAATAAAATAAAATACAATAAAATTGAACTTATTTGATTTTAAAACAAATTGTTGAAGCCCTTAAACCGACCTATTATTGTAACAATATAATAATCGATGATTAGTGATATATATATACTCCAAACTTCATCACACAGTTCTAAGCGTTATCAATTTCTTGCTAGAATGCACGCCCAAATCATGCAATGATTTCTGTAAGACGCTCTACAGTATTCTTTACTCAGTAATTCTTATAGGGATTCCGTAAACAGCCTACACCAATTCTACCTTGTTTAAACTATAACTGCCATGTAAGGTTCATTGATAAATAAAATGAATAAGAAACTGACAGCTGTAAATTACATAGACGTAAAATGTATTCTTTACATGAAACTCACTACAATTGAGTAGACTAAAATTTGACAAATAGTATTTAAGGTCAGTTAAAAATCCCCAAGCTGAATGTTTTTTTTAGCCTGTACTAAATTTCAGACTTTTATTTTCTTACTACTTTCCAACAATGAATCGATATTAAATCGACGATTCATTTTTTTCCAAATTTAGTATTAAAATCGTTATGGATTAATGGTAAAGTAAACTGTTTAAAATTGACTCAAAATAGTAACCAGCGTTGATTTAATATTAATACTTTAGAGTGGGCTTGCAGTAAAAAGGGTATTTTTTTAAAAGACATTTTACTATTGGTAGTAGAAATACAGAACTACCTGGAACTGCATGGATTGTGATCCACTCTATCAAGTCAAAAATATAGATACAATCTAGAACTACTAGAAAAAGTTAAAACGAGTAAAAATCTTTATGTAAGTTTAATATTAATCAAGCGATAGACTCTTTTGTTGAAAGTCTTATTTACTTTTATATTGAATACGGTAGTTCTAATAATGTGTGTATTTATATATTTTATCAAATAATATGCATTTATGTTGTTCATGAAGAGCGTCGAAAATAACTAAGTTTATCTGCAATTTTTTAGTTTCTGCCATGAATAATGTCGGAATGAGCGTTTGTTGTAGGATATCATAAGACTATCAAAGCTCTTTCTGTTAACCAAACATCCCTTTTCTATCATATTTTTTTTCTGGTGCCCTCTACGTTTCTTCTTTCATATGCCGATGCTGTGGAATGTGAGCCCATAGCAGTATGAAAAAGCTCGTGCAAATGGTTTGACATTATAAGTTACACTTACCACAACTTTATAGAATTGTAAAATTCGTAAGACTTTTTGTACCATCGATCTCTTACAAACTTGAAAAGCATTGCATACAATGATTATAAAATACATTACATGCATAAAATTACTATATGAATGTACATGACATAAGATTTAAAAAATGGTTAGACTGAAAATAAAATGTAAAAATAAAAAATGTAAATAACTTTAATTTTAAAGAATCAAATACAACAGAAATGTCTTCTTTTATGGAAATCCAAAAACACGATTCCAGTTGCAGTAAGTTCTGAGAATTATAAAATAATTTTAAAAGCTTACATCTCATAACTGTGAAAAATATCCAGTAGTTAATTTTATGGGATACTGTTGTTGGCGATTATATTAAACTACTATCGGAACAATACTCAAAATTTTAAATAGCAAAAGTTACAACTAACAGCTTATTGATATTCATACACTTTGTAAAAAATGACAATGATGTTATTAACATAATCTCTCAACATAAAAAATCTGAAAATTTTGAAAAAACAATGATTATGTCCTTGTAAACTTTAGTTTAAAACGTATCTTAGAATAATGCTTTGTTTATTTTTATTGTTACAATCGCAATTATAAGAATAAAATGCTGATTTCATTTTGTTTAACTAATTTCTCTTTTAATTTTTTTTTCTTATAGTACAAACATGTTTCATTTTTTTAGTCACAAATATTTTTATGAATTCTTTTACGAACCTAAAATGTGTAATGTAAAGCATTTGAGCTTTTAGTTCACGACATTAAGTGACAATTTGATGTAATGCTTTTAAGGTCACCTAATAATGGGTTGTGGTGACAGAATGTCGCCATAACATAAGTGAACATTTTTTTTTTATTACCGATCTCTATGTATTAATTTATTGTAAGGATTGTAGACTATGTAACAAATTTTCCTAAATATCACTTTTGTAACTTTGTAAGAAATAATGTATGTTATCTCGATTACAAAAAATGATTACTCAATCATCTCAGTAACACGCCTCATTTTATTAACTTTTGTTATGAAAAAATTAAAAATATTATAAAATTTTATTTTAAATTATTGTTAAATGGTAAAATGTAAATTTTTACTGCTTAAACAAAAACTAGGCCGACCGTTTAAACATGACAACGGAAAGCTTAAGTGATCAGTTGATCCAACATTGCAATTCAGTTGTCCTTGTTCTTGTATCGAAGTCCGTGCTCATTCTTTTTGAATTATTATAAGTGCAGCTCTAGTCAAGCTGTAAGATAGCTTTCAGTTTGTCAATACTTGCGTATCGACATAACATTTAGTTAAGGCTGCAACCTATCAAAGAGCAGGTATTATAAATTTATTTTTCTCCAGTTTTAAGGTTATTTGTCATAATCTGGTGCAAGACACATATACCAATGCCTTAGCACCTTATTTAGAAACCTTATCTAAAACTAAATCATTATTGTCAAGGGTAAAAAAAGTGTATTTTTTGACATACCATGCCGTTTAGTTTGTTAAGGTACAAGTAAATATAAAAACTTGGTAAAAGGGAGCACATTTTTATTAAACAAAATATGTGACGTCTCGTCGAAACCGAAGTCGACCTCTTCAGAAATAAATACGAAAGGTACTTCCCCTTTTACATCACGATTGTATTCTATTAACAATGACACATGTTCACAGTCATATGACTGAATTGACAATAATTAAAGTCATATGAAAAACAATAGAACGTAAAAAAATTCATTGCTTTATATAAATGGGATACTAAGTATATTGTAACAAAAACACAATGTCGTTACGCCAACCTAACAATAAGAGAAAAACTGAGAGTAAGAAACCCATACATAGATTTCAATATACTTAGTGTCCCATTTATATATAGCAATGAATTTTTTTACGTTCTATTGTTTTTCATATGACTTTAATTATTGTAAATTCAGTCATATGACTTTGAACATGTGTCATTGTTAATAGAATACAATCGTGATGTAAAAGGGGAAGCGCCTCTCGTATTTATTTCTGAAGAGGTCGACTTTGGTTTCGACGAAACGTCAAATATTTTGTTTAATAAAAATGTGCTCCCTTTTACCAAGTTTTTATGTTTACTTGTACCTTATGAATTTTATATTGGAGCAAAATGAAGAGGATGATTGTATTAATCATCGTTTAGTTTGTTCTTTAAGCCCCTCTTACTGGTGTTTATACCCATGGCCAACTTTATACTAGATGCTGTAGTGTTACATTGTATTACTTTTGCTTTTGCTATAAATGAAGATACAGATGAGTGTAGCACAAAATAGAAACATTGTTAAGTGAGCTGTAAATTTTATTATGTCATTTGCACTGCGCATCTCTTTCTCTCACCTTTTTTTCTTTTTCTGCTATATAAACAAGTGATAGGTATACGACTAAAGTAAATCTGTTTTATAACTTGAAAGCTACGTTTTTTTATGAGCATATTGCTTAGTGAATGAATGCGCATGAAAAATAAAAAAGATGTATTCTGTGAAATGAATTCTGATACCAAAATGGTTGATTGTATGGATGCGAAATTTAGAATAAATATTTATTTCAATTAATACATTTCTGTATAGTTGAGCAAGAGTTATTAAAAGATGATGTAAGCAATCTTCTTGACTACAAAAAATATGTACAGTGATATTATGACGTCTCTAAATCGTATGCCATACAAAAAGTCAAACAAGCTAATCTTTTCGTGTTATTTGGACAGTCAGATACATAAAATTCGACGTCATGTTTTCTTCGGGTAGCAGCATCGAAGCTGTTTTTCTCGACTTTAGCATAGACGTATGAACTATACATCCACTAAAATCATTTCACATATTTTTTGTAGTCAAGAAGATTACTCACATTATCTTTTAATAATACTTAGTTAACTATATAGAAATTATATTAATTGTGATAAATATTTTTCTAGATTTGGTATTATGGAAGCCGTCCGCTATTTAGCCAGCGCACAGTGCGGCCGAAGGCCGGTTTGTGCGGCCAAAAGTCGAAAAATCAAGCAATTAATTGAAAATTTCTTACTCGGGGGTTTCTGGGGTTGCTGATTACGAATTTAATATTAAAAATTTGAAAAGCCACCCCCTTCCTCCCCTAATGACCACCCCCTTGCGTGAAATAGCGTACATTATTCAACATAATCAAGATGCATGTCAATTTATAGGTTTTAGGGGTCGCTGATTACGAATTTGATGATGATCTATAACTTATAATGATCTATAAATGGGTATATAGGGGTTTTTAGGGTCGTTTATCATAAA